TCTCTCTCTCTCTCTCTCTCTCTCTACTATATATATATATATATATATATATATATATATATATATGTATATGTGTATATATATGCATATGTGTATATATGTGTGTGTGTGTTGACATTGATGGGCTTTAAGGGTTAAAGGGTACCATGAAAGATGTAAACTGTATTTCCATCAAACTAAAATTATGTCAGTTGTTTAAATAGTTGGCTCATAATTGGGCAATAATCAATTTGAAGTTTGAAATTGATCGTGCGCCTTTTGTTCATCTTGCCAAACATGGATGTTTGACAAACAAGCACCATCTCAGACTCGGGTTATGTAGAATGCCTCATTGAAGCTTGGGGTTCCTACTTGCAGGAATGCATTGATGAGGCATTAGAAGTGGACTCAACAGTGTCCTCCCCAATACCTAAAATGGACTCTGAGTTCGTTAGTGTAGAAGAGTAAAAGCAGGAGTGAGGCAGTCAGAAGGGAAGTAATAAGAGTTCATGCACTATTTGTATAAGTTCATTTATATCTTGCATTATTGTACGGTTTGACGGACTTAATGGGCTGGCAGTGATGATTGACATCCCCAATGTGTGTGAGATATGGCTTATTAATTTGATGAGGTTGGCCCATTAATGACTTGATTAGATCAAAATTAATAATTGAGGTGGCTAGTTAATGCTGCCAGTAATGCTTAAGTGCCTGACCTGTGGCATCCTAGAGTGATTGGTCAAGTAGGTTTTTCTTCTGATGGTTCCCATCTGAAGTAAAGATGACTTTGGTTTCCTAACATGGTGCTAAAAATTTAGGGATTTGTCCTAAGAGGTCTTGTTTAATTAAGAAATGTTGAATGGTCTTGTTACTACAAGAATTAGGTAAAAGCTTCTCTTTTGAATATTTTCCATGCTTAGGAAAGGGATGGTCTGGTTATGTTGTCAACTGAAGACTAGAATGTGATCTGCATACCATGAATAACTACAAACTTTGGAGTTATCACACATTGGCTTGTAAAAAATGCTCTTAGTGCATTTGTCATTTTCTTTTAATTTTAGCCTGCCCACTACATACGAGAACATCTAGGTTCTTTGATTTTGCATGAAAAATTTGGGACCATACATGTTTTGGGTTTTTCACTTGATTTTTAATGAAACAGGTAAAACTTGAAGCCAAACTTTTACTGGGAACTTATCTAAAGATGCACTTTTCTTATTTGTTTATGTCAAATTATTTGTGAATGTAAAGATGCAAATAATTTAAGTGGAATATGGTTTCCATTTGATGAACATTCTGAAGCTATGGATTATTATATAGGTTGTATTTGCTTAAAGTTTATTAGGGTATATGATAGTGTTTTGTTTCCTGAAAGGAGGTATGTTATTTTTGAAAGTATTTAGTGTGTTTATACTATCTATCTTGAGTTGTGCCAGCTGGATGATAATTTTTTTCTGCATATCAACCATTGATTTCAGTTTGTTGTAGATCATTGCATCTTGCCAAATTGATGATTCATTTTGATGACGTAATGTCTTAGATCAAGCTCAAAAAACAAAGGTCCTTTTCTGGATGGATAAAGAAATAAACTTCCATCCCATAATAACATGTTTTCATCCCATAAAGAAATAAAGCTACTTGGGGTTAGATAAGATCCAAAGTTGTTTTATGTTTTGGTAATTTTTACATCAATACAAAATAAAATGTTTTTATATCGGGTAATTTTTGGTGATTAAAAGTGGCTTTTAATGTTTTGTTTCTGACTTGCTTATATCACTACACTTAATGGAAGACCATCTTGAAAACTCGAACAAAAGGTATATAGAAGGATCTAAAATGATTCACTATCAACCATCCTGAGCTGCAGGTGTTGATACATTATTAACAGGTATGCTGTTCTACTGTGAGGAATATAGTTAGTCTTTCACATAGAACTATCTTTAAGCTAAATTTCTACAAGAAAATTAATGACTTTTCAATATTTGTAATGGAATATTTTTCTGCTGCAAAACTATTGCAATTAGAACAGTATATACATTTTGGGTAAATTGCTAGGTAATTTATTCTGTTAACGCTGAATATTTACGCTGTGAAATTCTTTCTATATTTATTTTATATCCTCTTTGCCTGTCAATCTTTCAGCCCATTGTACATGAAAATCCCTGTCATGGCTTGGTAACATGATCCATTGCAATGTCTTTATAACAAACACTATGCAAAAAAAATCATCGTACATATTTACATGATTGTTAATGACTATTACATCTTGAAAATATAACATTTGGTGGTCCAGTGAGTGAACACACTCGAAGGATGCATAGCTTACGTAACAAACATTTTCGTGCATTGTATTTCGCTTACATCTTGGAGATATATCCTGCAGGTTGGGCACATCGGACAGTTTGCTTCATCTGATCCAAGAAAAAATCAAGTGGGCTGATATAATGAGTGAGACGAACAAGAAGCATAAGAAGGAAATTGAGGACAAGGTGGAAGAAGTGAAGAAATCTCTCAAGGTGAGCTTGATGGATTAAAAGTACTTCAAAATTTCTGAAAAAAATAATCTGATGTTAGCTTGAATGCCATTGTAAATCAGGTTTTGTTTACGTTACGCATGATGGCTGTCATAATGTGTATTGGCTCTGTTATTTCTATAAGAAAATCATATGATGGCTATATACACAAGCATGAAAATAATTGAATTATGCATCAAACATGGCAATGCTTGTCGATGTGAAATACTTACTTGGTGGCAGAAGTTAAACACTTTAAGCAGGCCGACTTGGACTTACGAGGCCACGAAGAGAGCTTTTCTGAATCTGGAGGAATGATGGATTATGAAGAGGACCGTGTCCGGCCTAAGAGGTAATTACTTTATATGCGTGCAACTTGTTTATTTTGAGCTGGGCATTCATGTCCCAAGCATGTTGGTGCCAGCAAAAGAAAGCATGCCAATCTGAAAGATGTTGCGAGAATAGCTGTCCTATTCCTTGTCTGTACCTGAAAATGGAATTTCCATATCAAGATAAATCAAATATGATACAAACTTCATTTTAAGAAATGATGATTGTTGTCTTGTTATATTTTCAACTTTTGTATGTATATGACCACACATGGTAAGTGGCAATGGCATATGCGATGCCCATTGGGGTGCACCAAATGTTATCACATGCTCGGGCAGAGGATTCTATTTTCTCTTGGTTTTAGTTTGAACATGTGCATTTACTATGATCTGCCTTTCCTGCTAGTTTTAATTTCTCAAGCATAATGACATTGTTTTCATCCTGTCACTTCCTGTCAAATGTCCTGGTTTTCATTCAGCTACATCTTTAGCTGCTACTCTTGCCCAAATACCCAGGTGGTTGGCCCAGATTCTCTGCAAACTCTTGATGCCAAATTCTGTTCATCCTGCTTGCATGTTTTGTGGGCCGTTTATTTTATTCAACTTCCTGTAGCTTTTAATTGGGTGAATCTTTTGCAAATTACCATTGCAGGAGGCGGCAGCCAATGCACAAAGAAGGTTGATTGCTTGGTGTTAATTCATATTAGCCGAGGCTGACTCTCAGTTTGCTGACAGCATTTTGGAGTCGAATACCTGATCGCAATTTGTTCTAATCTGATATCGGTGTCCATATTTGCGTCCGGTGAACTTGTTCTACTGTATTATCACCTTGTTCAAACTCGATCATCAACCTATAATCATGTTTTGCATTCATTAACATGATGGATTCTGTGTACAAGAGTTGTACTTACTACTCATCAACCTATAATCATGTTTTGCATTCATTAACATGATGGATTCTGTGTACAAGAGTTGTACTTACTAGTTCGGTAGTTCCTCAGAAAAACCTGAATTGTATTTGTCATGCTTCCTATTGCGGCTGCATTTGTGTAAAGAGATATAGTAGGTAAATGTTAAGACTAGCAAGCAACACGGCAAGAAACCATGAAGAGGACTTATCCAAGCTCTTCATTCAATAAACAAAAATACGAATGGATTTCATGATACGTTCTGCTACTCGATAGTTTAAAAACTTGAAATGGATTGGTTTAGGACTCAAGATGGGAATCTAGGCATATATAATAGCCAAGTCTCTCTTCCGAACTATCATAAACACCTGACCCATTAAACATCGACCATGTAACCATGAAAGAAGTTGGGCTTGATGCCTGATGAGAATGAATCACATCTTCTTCACAGAGATGAAAAAAAATAAAACGAGGAGAGGAAATATTAGAAAACAAAGTGACAAAACAATTTTTGAAGCTGATAAATCAAATGAATAACAAGGACAAGCAGTCATGTCATAACTAGATCAAATATTATAGCTTCACTTTGTCAGGCATTTGGCATTTGGTCCATGCTGGTGGAATAAGCTTTTGTCAGATCTTGTAACAGGCAGACACCAGCCCTTGACACCTCAACATATGATGGATTCTTAGTAAAACCACCACCAGCTTAGCATATGATAAAGCGGAAAAATGGAAACCATGCGTTACAATACTTGAGTACATAAATTTACAAATCATATCTTCAAAGTTGATGAAGTGGTCGTTTGGGCGGAATGGCATCTATGAACAAAGATGGTTAGTTACCTATTACAGGCTTCTTTTCTTCATTACCAAAAGACCCATCAACTTTGGCAAATGCTTTTGTCTTGCTTGCAGATTCCTTATTCTTCAACATTGAAGTAAGTGGACCATCAACTGCAATAAATATCATGTTTCAATCACTCCGAGTTCGTATGACAATTGAATATAAACTGTTAATATGAATTCTAAATAGTCAACAGCGAGATGATGATAGCTTACAGACCACATTGTTCACCATACCACGTGAAAATTTCTGGGATATGTTTAAAATGAATTCCAAATTAGACAAACCCATCACGTATCACCATGTACAGCAGCAATATGCAGCTAACCCACATATTCGAACTGCATATGACATGCAGTTGCAAAAGACTGAATAAGATCACATATGACTGCGCATCAATAATTTAAATTTTGCTTCAGTTATGTTTCTATTTAAAATCACTTCAAAAGTTCAATCCTTAGGACTTTCGCCAATTTTGTGTATCCATATTATCTTCTAATTATGGCCTTCTATGTTATTCGAGTTCATTGTCGACCACTTGTGTGGTAAAGAAACAATTTGTTCTTTAGATCAGTCATAGTTCTTCGATATAATTTGATATATATATGTGTGTGTGTGTGTGTGTGTGTGTGTGTGTGAAACTTGCTTTCCTATGCCTAAGTATGTTACGATGTGTTGACATCAAATCATGATCTTTAATTATATTACATGAAATATATTTCATTAGATATTTTTACATGTTTGCAATGCTGATGCTAATATTTATATATTCTAAAATGGATACTTCATATGCATTCGCATATGAGCTACAATCCCCATGTCTAGAGTGAACACCTTGTGACAGTCACTGTTTGCAACACCAAAAGACCTAAGTTATTTGACTTTCATTTATAAAAGTCAAAAGTTTTTCATAAGCCAAGTTGCTATTTCATTGTTTGAAGATATATGGTATTATGTTATGCTTCATTTGAAATTTCAGCTGACTCATACTTCCAATTGTATTTTACTTTATTGACTATTTATACTTGTTTTAAAAAACAAAAAAGAAAATCTTGCAATCTGCTATTCTATTCACTATAATTTAAAGAGGAGACTAAAATGGAAAAAAGATAACACCTTGCCACTCCAACACAACTTTAGACTCTCCCTTGATCATCTTCGGATACTGATCTATACGAGAATCTTCAAGAATCATTTCTTCAACCTAATACAGATGGAATTCAATAAACAGTACTGATAATACAAATCTTAATATAGCACATAAATAAAATTTCTTATCATAAAAACACAAATTCTACATTGTCTACTACCTGACTAAGTTATGCTACATGCATATTTCTTCATGCACCGTGTATAAACTATCATCTTAACTTAAGAACAATGTCGAACCACAGCAAAATATATAAAACATACTATTGATAGCATGAAAGAAAATATGGGGAAATAACATAAGCTGTTTAAGATTACGAAAACCTTCTACAACCCTCATTTGTTGGCCGCTTCATAAATAAAGATAACTAACAACAATGAAGCAGTAAAATCACGTGGAATTAGTTATTAATAAAATGCACCTTCTTCCATAACATAGCATGCTTCCTCTCCCTTGGTCGAAGTAGCTGATCCCTTAGCCAAGAAGCAACTAACCAAGGTTCGCCTTCACGGTTCCCACATCTAATTCTCATGGCATTGTCTTGGAGAATTTCACATACCTGTTGAACCAACATTGTTTAGCAACAGAGATATAATAGCAAACTACAGTAATGATAAATGGACTAGCAAAATATATCATGTGGACATAAACAATGTGATATAGTTATTGCGAATGTCAATACTAGATTGTATGGAGTTATATACCTTATCTTTACAATAATCATATATTGACAATATATTATGATTCGGGAATGACAGAATAAAGTGCTTGAGAAAAAGTTATCTAAGAAATTTTGAAGATATAGCCTTCATATTAGGGGATGTAGACAAACTAACTGGATAAGAGGCATATAGACAACTCCTGCCAATGACTCATCAGCTTTCAAAATCTGAGAAAAAACACAACCACAGATCGAAGGAACTATGCCAAATTGGCAGACAGCAATCTTGAGAACTAGGATGCTGTCTTATATCTACCTGGCTAAAAATGCATGCATGATTTAGTTTGCATGAGAAATACAATAGAACCATAAAAGGAGATACAGAAATGACCACAGAAAAGAACAATTCCATGATAAATAAATAGACCTGCTCGTATAGTTGCTCAGCTCGAGTTGTGAGATTCTTTTTTTGATGTATACTCCATGTAATTTTGGTTAAACCAACAAGCTGTAGAATCATTATAAAATCAGAATGGATTTAATAAATATATTTATTCATGAAGACTGAGATGCAATCACATACTAAACCCAAAATTGCCACCATAATGCCAACATGCTTGTAAATCCACTGGTTGACACGACATTGAAGAGGCTTACAAAGTTCAGCTAGCAAGTCTGGACATTTGAACTCTTTGCTTCTACATAAATCAAGAATGTGCAAACCTCAGATTTGATTGACTGGCAGATCAAACCAAACCAGAGGGACATAGCGTTTTAATGCTGAAACATAGAGTTAGAAAAGAACCCATTCCGTGCCACCCTCGTTTCCAAGATAGACTCCACAATGTCCATAACCTTACGTTTTACAAACGTAGAAGTGTCATTTTCTGAGACAATATTCTTCTGTGGCATATGTTCGTCAATTATCTCCCTCACATCAGCCTCTTGAAACTGAAAAGCCGACTCAAACAACAGAGGTCATAGTGGTTGTTAATGAGAATGCAACTATTCATTTAACTCCACAAATAGAAGTCCTTCTATACCAGAAATCCCTACACAAGTTGCATGAAAACCATGAGGTTGGTCATGATAACAGACCCAGATTTTCCCAGGTTCATTGCACAGAACTTGCCCATATGCATTGCAAACATGCTGTTGTAGCAGCTCTGACTGCATTGCAGGATAATAATAAGTCATAAAAAAACAATATTTATTTACATAATCCAAAATATTTAAAGCACAAAAAACATACCAGTTTCTTTGCGGTCTGATTAATGGTTCCGTCTTCGACGCATTTCCTTCCCTGTTTCTTATAACCATGAAAGCACTCCAGCTTTCCATTGGAGCACCATCCATGGGAAGGGCAAGGTTCACACAAGTCTGTGGTTATATTTGATGCTAAAAAAGATTAATTTATAGTATGTAGAATAAAACTAGAACAAGCAACAAATTGTATTTAAAGGGTAATTGGAAAGGCTCCTTATAAATATAGATCTAAATATGGAGAGATTATTTCCATGACTTGAACCCTCTCCAAAGTCACAAAGGAGCACAAAACATAGCATAGTTAAAATAAATATTCTAGAGAAAACAAGTTAAAGGTTCTGTTTATAACACTTATGAACTCTAGTATCCCTATAGATTGGCATGCTTGCAAGAATTTAAGCTTGGATGTTTTCTTTATTTTCTACACAATGAATTAGTTTACTTAAATATTATAATCCTCCAGCTGATAGTTGCTTTATCCCTCTTGAATTGGAGAAAGGCCTCTCCACTTCTAACATCTACATCAATGGATCCATAGCCATTAGGCATGTGCCCTACAACTAAATAACGACTAAATGATTTATAAGATCAATCAAGAACATGTAACATTTGCACTAAAAACTAAATCCAAAACAAGGCCTGTTTAGAACTCTAAAAGCAACAACCCAAGAATTATAATTCGGAATCCAATAACCACTAAAGTGTACCACTTCGCCTGTGATAACAAAAGCCAGCTAATGCAACAGAACTATGACCATAAATGTTCCTTTCCTCGTTTAAGAATAGTGATGCAAGCACTAGTATTTCTCATTGAATTACCTAGATTTGATGGTCCAGATGTGCCTTGTTCTTGTATTAATAAAAAAAATAATATTTTAGGTAATACTGACATTTTTAATTTCTGCTCTTGATTATGCGTGAAAAAGTAATTGCCTCAAACCGTATTACTAAACTCTCAAGAAACCCAAAAATTCATCAGGATCAAAGGAAAATGTTATCCTACTGAAGAAAATAAAAAAAAATGAATATAACAACCTAGATTAAATCATAAGACTAGGTCAGCTCACGAAATTTGGAAAAAAAAAATATCAAGGAAAAAGAGATCAATTGAGGGGACAAAAAAAGAAAAGACGAAGATCACCAGTGTCGGTGTCGTAAGCCACTTTGCTGCTGTCGCAGAATGACTTGGCCTGACGATTGAAGAAGCAAACGGCGTAGTTGCAAGCAGCGGCGACCGAAGCAGCGATCCCGATGACGGCGAAGAGCTTGAGGACCTCATTCTTGGATGGGAAGAGGGTTGCAGAGGGCTCCCTCCCCAAGAACTGAAGCGGCGGGGCTGCGCCTGGAGCCCTTTGTTTCGGCCGCTTCTTCGCGGTGGCGGACATCACCGGGGCTGTGTCCCTCCGCCCTAACACGTCGCTCTTAGGAACACAAAGAAGTGAGTCGCGAGTCTTAACCCGAGTTGGCCGATCACATATTACGCATAATCAGCATGTGCTACTCACGTGAAAGGGACTCCACCTAAACGACCACCTGAAACGCACGAGTTTTAAACGTCCACGTGCAACTCACGTGAAAGGCCCTCCACTTCAAGGCCCACTTGAGACGCATGAGCACCGAATGGGTCAGATCGCGGTCGGAATGGTAGATAAGTTCAAGACCGAACCCAAACCAGAACCGACACTAATCGGTCAAGCATCACTTGACTCGGGCTCAACCCAAGTAGCAAGCCGGCAAGCCCGTATCAGGGACATCATCACAAATATGTTATTGTATAGTTTCTACAATCAGTTACATTCTAAATAATTTTAAAACTAATATGATATTAAAGCATTATTATATCTGTATTAAATTTTAAAAAATTAAAATATATTTTTATTATATATGATGCTAATATATATATATATATATATATATATATATATATATATATATATATATATATATATATATATATATATATATATATATATATATATCACTCGTTTGTACAACAAACTAATCAGTTCGAATATCTCAACAGCGACTAATATCAATACTTGTAATAGAGTCCATCATAATCAATTCTAATTACATTACAATATTTCAATCTTATTTTATCTGTATTCATTGAACATTTCAAATATACTGAAGGATATGAAATTTATGTGTTGCTTCCTCGGAACAGCATGATGAATTAGAGAAATCAAAATTTCACTTCAGTTGTAATAAAAAAGGCATCACAGGTGATGAAGAGCACTATGGTTGCGTCAAAAAAATGACAATCGTGCAATTAAATTAACCATCACAGAGATTGATATTTAACTGGAATATGGTTCATATTCCGAAGCTTTAATCAATATTACACAAGGATAGAGATAAAATATATTTGTGAGAAAAGTGCACGAAGCTCCTGCTAATGCAGCATCTAAGAACAGTAGAAACTTAGCTTTATGTAAAAGCAAGAGAGGTAGAAATAAGAACAAGAATGAAACTAACAATGATTTCATCAAGTGGCTCGTAGTTAAGAAACATGACAAAGTTTAAAAGAAATAAAAGAACATTTTTCACTATAATCGAATCACTGAAAGATGCTACTTAATGAACAATCATCATGAACTCGCCAGATTGTTTCGCCCAATATATTTGCCACAGAAAGAACTGTTAGCTGTGGGAAACTGTTCTGCTCGGGCACCGGGATGGTGTTTGTGACGATGACTTCTTGAAATAAGTCACTTGATAACCTCTCAACTGCAGGAGGGCTGTTACAAACAATAAGAAGTAATAAGGTTGTCACAACAAGCAGAGTTGGAAGTAGTATTCCAATTTTAGGGAAATACCATGCAAAAAACAATTTGCAACACGGGGCGTGAAACAAGATAAAAAACTACATATGGTCATGTCTACCGACCACAATGTTTGGCTAAGAATCAGAAGAACAAAGAAAACTATTCTCAGATTAAGATGAAAAGAAATAAGTGGTTAACGTTTGGATGGATTTTGTGAGTGGTAAAGAGAAATGGACAAGTATTAGGGTAAATGAGAAGTGAAATAACAAAAAAGGTGAAGGTAACAGGTAATCTGACCATCTTTTAGAATGGAATGTTGTTTTTCTTTCTTCGTTTCACTGAATAAATATTTCCCTTAACCAATCGGAATAAGTCCAAAAGTAAGATTGTTTGGCTAATTACTACATGGAAATGTCCCCCTTCCCTAAATGACTCAACCAAACAGCCATCAAAAGATCCCATAGAAATGAACTAGGACTTGAAAGAGAAAAAGATGAATTTTGCAATTAACAGGTATGACTCCACTTCCACATGCATAAGATTCTGTCATTTCATGCTCTCAAGCCATGAAAAATGAGGAGAATCACGTTAAGCAAAAAAATGAAAAAAGGATCTGCTGTAAAACTTCACCAGAATAAACACAAACAAACTTCAACATTTCCATATCTAAGTATTTCACTTAGATGGTTGGTGTTTTAAATTAACAAAACATGATGTCAAGTATTGGTTGTGGTTGATACAGTTCGTCCCAACCGGTATTGACTGGTCCGACCATGGGATGGTACCATATTGTCAATACCTGTCAGTATTATTTTTACAGACAATGCCAGGATGTATGGGTTGAAATATTGGACCACACAGATCCTGTAAATTACCAAAAATCCCTAAAAAATCCCAAACTAGGACAACAGAGAGAGATTTTAGGATCAAGTAAACTCAAATGTTACCAATGAAAATGAAAATAGCAATATGCGAGTACTCTCAAATATTTTAAACAGCAGGGCAGAATGACTAGCAGCTGTATATGACCATGCAATAAACAAAGAATTCACAAACACAATATTTGAATTCCGATAATCTTCAAAGGACATAAGGATACCTAAAAACTGCATGTGTGCTGCAAGCGAAAACTTCTTTAGCTCCCTCTTGATGTAGTAAAGTTGCACCCTTTACAATAGTTCCTGAGTCCAGCACAATAGAGTCATGGAAATTTTCCACTATGGAACAAAAATAAATAAAAATAAACAAATCATCTAATAAATGTGCCAAATCTTGTACAGAAAAGTGTGATGCTTCATAAATAACTGCAATGCATACCTTTATTTCAACCACTCAAACACTGAGGAGCTATGAACAAGTTAAGAAGATGAAAAAGAGAAAAGTATTTATTACTAAAAATAAAAGTTGCTGTGTTTCCACTTATTTGGTTGTGCCAAGAGATGAAAAACGTGTTCCAGATGTCAAATCTGTTAAATGCAGTAAGCAGAGTAGCAATCGCTTTTCTTCTCAGAAGCAACTCACCAGCAGTATCGATCATATCATCCAACATTATAGCAACCTTTCCTTTAACATCTCCAATCAGATTAAGTACCTGCATGCACAACAATTAGATTGCATTAAGTATAACACTATCATTTAATATCAGATACCTGAGGAATAATAAGACTTCAATAAGAAAGCATTAGCAGGCGAATGTAACTTCAATCAATAATAGGATAAGAAGGCCTGGTACATGTCCAATTATCAAGTTAATTGCCTAAAATAACCAAACTTCAAAAAAGAAGAAACAACTCTCACTAGGAAAACTGTTCGTTAAAATTACACATTGAAACAATAATGTGCCCTTCATTTCTCATGCATGCCAATGTGGACAAAAGAAATATCCCTAACAAATATAAGCATGAGATATAATAAGTCCACATTAAATAGAAGAGTATGACATTGATTAACATTATACTTAACAATCTGGTAGCATCTATTCATATCACCTCAGCAGCATTGTGTCCATGACGCCTTTTATCCACAATTGCAAGAGGTGCATCTGATAACTTCTTGGCAAAAGCACGTGCTCTTGCCACACCACCAACATCGGGAGACACCACTACCAAATCATCTGAACTAATTGTTTTGCTGGAGAGGTAATCAAGAATGACAGGCTTGACATGCATTAAGAAAAGATAAAAAGATCAACCAGAAATAGTTTATATATTCCAGAAAAAATTCACGAACTACAAAATTTCTAGGTAAATTTCCATGTAAAATAGAAGGAACGAACATCATGGCCTAGGGCATATTACTTGAGCATAAACATGATCCACTGGGATATCAAAGTATCCCATGGACTGCCCAGAATGCAGATCGCACGCAAGTACACGGTTTGCACCAGCTTTTGTAATTAAGTTCGCGACAAGTTTGGCTCCAATTGATTCTCGCTCTTGAGTCTGAAGTGCAAAAAGGATGAAATTTACTACTGCTCATAAGACATGCAGAAAATGACCATCTGAGCATTTAAATAAATAACAGTTCTAGATGTAACAAGGTGATTCTAATTTCTAAAGGCTAAGAATTATCAACAAAAATCCTTACAAACTTAATTCTCATAAACTAACAGATTTGATTAGTTTACTCAAATATACTTACTTTTCTGTCAGCTCTAGAATAACCAAAATATGGTATAACTGCAGTAATGTTTTTAGCAGATGCTCTGCGGCATGCATCAATCATGATCAGAAGCTCCATAAGGTTCTCATTTGCTGGGGGGCATGTTGGTTGGACTAAAAACACGTCACATCCCCTCACACTCTCCTGCAATTGGACGTATATTTCACCATCTGCAAACCTCTTTATCTTGATTTTCCCGAGTTGAAGGCCCAAGTAGTTTGCAATTTCCTACAGGCAATATCATCTCCGGTTACCTAAGGCTTCATCTAGCAATGAAAAGTATCAAAATGGAACTCCACCAGAAAAGCTTATAATTTAAAGCAAATACAGTGTAGTAAAAGGAACTTATTAAATAGGTATAGCAAATGGTTTAAAATCATATTGCGGGGTGTATTTAGAGTATGCAAAAATCATATGTAATTCAATAAATTGATATGAATGTATCTTATTAATTTTCATGTTAACACTAAACAAACAAGGAGCACAACAAAATTTGAGCAAATATACAGCTAAGGGAGTTCAACATACAGCAGAATGACCCTCATATATATTCATCAGCAGAAAATAATGGCTTTACAAGAAAACAAAATCCTTCTATCTTTCAAAGGGAGGGATCAAAACAGACTTCCATTAGTAGAAAAAGAAAATGACAAACATCAGCAAAGACTGTTAGACAGGTAATAAAAAGACAACTTATTCCATTAGGCTTCTGCAAACAGAAAGACAGATTTGATGCCACGAACCTTGATCACCCAAATTGTAGAGAAGAAAACTTACTGTAGCATCAAAACTCACAATGTGTGATAGAAGAGAAATTTCAACAATGTTCATGAATATCCACATGTAGTTTGATCAGAGTTACTTTGGTAATTTGATTCAAAGTCATCCAAGCTCTATTTAATTTTGTGCCAACCCAAAACTGAGACCTTAGGCATTGTTACAGTCGCATTCCAATTCGAAATGTAGTTCCTCGCCCCTATATGGTCCATGATTTAAAAAATCATGTCTCAGGGTTTATCGACTTTATGTTAAAAAGAAGGCTTGCATGCAATAATGAGAGAGACAATAATTCCCTGGTGCCTAAGTTATGCATCAACGTCGTTGCAACTTTAGACATCTAACGATGGTCGCTCACCACATAGCATCTAGAAGCCGACTAGTTGTTTTACTAATGCAATCTAACATCTTTTTGGTAAGGATTTCAAGTAATGCGGCAAGTGGGTTAAATGTGACACTTTAAACCAGGGGTTGGCAAGTTCAACGAGACCAAGCAAGACACAACTATCTTATAATTAATAACTCACAACAGAATAGACAAGATAGACTAAAAATAACTAACCTGATTGCAGGACTAAAGTGTGTACAGCCGCTGAGCCAATCATCAGCGTCAGACCATTTATAGCATTAACCAATTAATACATCAAAAAATTGCGGCACCTGTCTGCAAGAGAATTCTCAGCACTAAAGCGACATCTACTAGTTGCAACAAGACGGGTGACAACTAAAAACGAATGGTATAGTGTGTAGCTGGATGTAGCTTTATCGTACAAGCAGAGTAGAAATCATCTCGTATTTATCGGGAATCACAAAGCAGGGGCTACTTCATCATATATAAAAATAGAACAGGTTTTCAACCATAGATCAACAAGAAAAGAAGAAGACACGGCTGGGATGTGACCACGAAGACGCACCTGAGCGAGTGCCGGATTAGCGTTTCCGGAGAAAATCCGAAGCCTGGAGTCATGGTTCCCGCCCGTTCCTCGGGTTTGCGGCGACACCAGTAATCCCGGCGACATCTTATCATTGAGGATCGGGATGAAGGGCCGGGATCCATTCCCGAATTCCAGCGGCTCCATCATTCCGCATCGCTGCATCCAAAAAGATGGGAAAGAAAAGAAACTAATCAAATCAAGATTCCACTTCATTCTGACACGGAAAAAATATTTGATGGAACGGGTGAACATAACAGATTGAATGAAGAACCAGAATAGGAGGAAGCAAGGATCAACCAGAGGGCTCGGGGCGAATGAGGAAGAGTCGAGGCGGCGGCGAAGGGGCTTGGCGCGAACTCTAAGGTTGATCGAGGAGGAGGAAGATGATGAGCGGAGAAAGAAGGTGGGGGAGACCACCACGGAGGCCATAATCGCGTAGGCAGGTCGACAGCTAGGTCAGTGCTACGAGTCCACGATCGGCCGGTGGTAGTTGAACGGACCGGGGCTATCGAGAAATTTGAGGGATGGAAATTACGTGTGTGCGGCGTGGCTTATCTAAATATTCAAACGCTATAAATATTCTTTTTCTAAAACTACAAAAAGAATAAAGAATTAAATTTTGTATACATACCCGTCCACACATGAGGAATTGCGTCTACGTCTCTTTGAGTTCTTACAGCCTCAAAAACTGCAAGTATTTTGCATTATATATATATATATATATATATATATATATATATATATATATATATATA